CCAACCCTGGTCCAAAGGTATTTTTAAGACTGACCAAAGCACGCTCGTTAAAGAATATTTCTCATGGGATTCTGAATATGTATGTGTGTTTGAAAGTGAGTGAGACGGGAAGAAAGAGAATGAATAACATGATCGTAGGGAAAGACAGAATCTAGCAGTGTTTCTTTCCCTTGGTCAGGAACTGTGTATCTAAAATTTAAACGAAATCTTAGCAACTTAGCCTAACGCTGTCCTCTTATACATGTTTTTTTTCTCATTTCCATGATTCATTTTTGAATCAGAGATCCTGTGGAGAATCCTTTTTAACATCTTTTCCTAAACAGAAGGTCTTTTATCTTGAAATAGATCACCTGCCAACACCAGAACAGTATATAAATAAACCTCACTGGAACATTAATATTATAGTAGGTAGCTCAATGACAGTTTGCAAAGCTTTTGATTACTCTCTTAATTTTTCTTCACTCAGAACCTGCTGTGAAATAATCCTTTGTGATCTTACTTAAGAAGGTCTAGCTACGCTTTCTATTAACAACCAAGTAAAAACAGGCAGGTTTTTGACCTGCTGCAAACTCTCTGAAACCATTTACTAGAGACAACACATGTACCAATGCCTCTACTAATTCACATTCAATTCTCTGAAAGAACAACATACATTATCTTCAAGATCTAAAGCCAACACAAGAAATGGCCCTCATCCACAGAGTAGTAATAGTATCAGTACTAAATTAAATTAAATTAAACCTTTACTGTAAAAGCCATCCGGCCCCACATCTGATACACTATAAGAGTACTCCTTTGTCTACCAGGTTCCCTCCAAAAAAGAGAATCCTTATGTAGTTCGATAATCATTTATGGCTGACAACTAATTTATCCTTTCCAACTTTGGGTTCCAGATTTCCCTTCTGATCATGTGATCTGTTTCATTTTTAGTGTTTTTGCTCTCTTTTTTTTTAAATCTAAGGCCATCCGGAATCATCTGGAGTTGGGCACCCTCTAATTTAATCTAATTTAGATTAAATTAAATTAAGTTAGTCATTGGCAAAATCCATGCTGTAGCAGGCATCCGTTAATATTACTGTAATGCCCGGTAACAAATCAGCACTAATCATTTCCCAGCTGTAAACTTAAACCCATTTAGGACCTAAAGCATAACTTCATAAATTGGTGGATCGAAAGGGCAAACCATCACGGAGGAGAATCCGCTCATCCACATCACAATTAGCTTCCATTTCTTAAGCACTTTTGGAAATCGTGATGTTAAAAAAGTGAAACCTAGACACACCCAATGTTATATCAATAAACCCACTTCCTTCGTAGGCTTATGCCCTTCCTTATAGGCTGGACCCATAAAGCTTATTAAAGAGAAGAGGATGAAGAAACTGGATGAAATTCAAATCTTGCTGCTAGAAAGTGCTCGAGACACAAGTAGAGGCCCAATGGTTGGGGAGACATAGCAGAGACCGGAGATCAATGGCTGTTTTCAGAGCGGTTCAGGGAGCTGGCAGTGGGAGATTGGAGGGTGGGGAGGAGAGAGAGAGAGAGAAAGAAAAGAAAGGAAGGGGGTGTGGATATTAAGAAAGACAAAAGAAGACAGGTTAGATCCCAGACTGAGAAAAGCAACCGTCCAATTAAAGAGAATAATCATTTCTCTGTTGAGAACAATGACACTACTTATAAATTGCAGAATCGTTATAGTCCTGAATTTACAACTATTCATTTAGGGTCCATTTGAAGTTATGGCACTGGAAAAAGTGACTTATGACCATTTTTCACACTTACAATCGTCGCAGCATCCTCATAATCATGTTATCAAAATTCAGATGCGTGGCAACTGGCTCGTATTTATGACGGTTGCAGGGTCCCAGGGTCATATGACCAGCTTTTGCGACCTTCTGACAAGCAAAGTCAATGGGGAAGCTAGATTCACTTAATAACTGTGTTACTAAACAACTGCAGTGATTCACTTAACAACTGTGTCAAGAAAGGACTTAAAATGAGGTAAAACTGACATAACAATTGTCCCACTTAGCAACAGAAATTTGGGGCTCAATTGTGGTCGTAAGTCGAGGCCTACCTGTATACTCTTGATCAGTGGTGGGATTCAAAACTTTTTGCTACCGGTTCTGTGGGTGTGGCATGGTGGGCTTGGCTTGGTGGGTGTGGCAGGGGAAGGATATTGCAAAATCCCCATTCCCTCCCCACCCCACTAACCTGCTTTCCAGCTCCATTCTCCTGTACAAGGCAACCAAAGAAGACCCAGCCGATCAGCTGGGACTCAGGAGGCAGAGAATAGATGGGGGCGGGGGCAGTCAGAGGTGGTATCTGCCGGTTCTCCAAACTACTCAAAATTTCCGCTACCGTTTTTCCAGAACTGGTCAGAACCTGCTGAATACCACCTCTGCTCTTGATGCTGGAGTATTACTACACAGGTAGTTCTCAACTTACGACCAGAATTGGGACAGGAATTTTGGTCCTTAAATCAAGAAGATTGTTAAATCGAGGCACCCACGTGACCTGATCCTATATTACAACTGTTTTTGTTGGGGTCATTAAATGAATCACAGTGTTGTTAAGTCCAAATCCATTCTCCTGAATGGGCATTTTTGCCAGCAAACCTTTTTTTTTTCCAAGTTGTGATCACATGATCCTGCAAACAGTTGTAAATGTGAGACAGCTGCCAAGCACCAGAAATGCAATCATTTGACTTGTGGGGGTGAGGTGACATTTTACAACAGCCAGAACTACTCTATGCACTGTGTAGCACACTTTCCAAGGTAGTAGCTCCAAATGGTAATTAGATAAACCAGTCATAAATCAAGTACTACCTGTACTTAGTTAAAGTACTGTACTTTAATCATAGTGATGGTCACAAAAAGTGTCAATTAGTTGGTTCTGATTTCTTAGATCAGTAATTTTATCTATTTTTGCCTACTCTACTCTTGAAAGGCTATCATTTATATGGCAATTTACAGAAGCAATAATAAAGACTGAAATGCAAAGAAAATAGCAGGATTCATACGTTGTGTTCAGAAGTTGGCTTGATTACAGATCAGTGTGTTGTGTAAACACAGCCAATTATATTTTATTTAATAAGCCAAACTTAAGCCATGAGCAATGTGTGAATGAAGCCAATGAGTTCTCAACAGAAGCAACTGCACTAAAAACACAAAATTATGTGGAAGCAGTTTTAGGACAGTCTATAAAATAGGTTTTGTTTAACCAGATTAAAAAATCTGGGTCGCCAAAATGGCCAGGTTTCGAGCTGGTGTTATACGTTAGACAAATGCACAAGTGATTTCCAATCCTACATTTGCTAAATGCGACAAGAAAATATATTTGTAACTTGGTATCCTCCAAAAATATGGGCTGACATGTCCCATCATTCTCAGCCAGGCCATCTAAATGTCCCTATGGCTGAATGATGTCAACTTTGGTGAAAATATTTCTCCTAAAGCTCCTTCCACATCTTGCTTTCCAATATCTAACATGCTTCTTCCCAGCATCAAAAACATCACAACATGCCACTGAAAGCTCACTGCCTATCCAGCCTTTCAAATCTCTGTTTAAAAAAAAATCCTTGGAATATTTTCAAGTGAAAGTGTCTGGCATCCAGCCTTCCCCGTCTTCACATAGTTAAGTAAATCATTAACAGCCACAGAGGACAGAATGTAAATAGTAAAGGAAAGTGTCAGCTGCCACCTTTTGCTTGCTTGTGCTTTACTGCTATATGGTGACAGACTGCCATGAAGTATGGGGAGGGGGGAATGAAAGGAGGAAGGCTTGGGGGAAAACGAAAGTAAAAGCTGTATCTCCTCCAGAAGCTGCTTCAAGATGACCCACCCAGCTGGAAGAAGGAAGAGGCCGTTAAGTAAACATTTTGCCTGAATTGGATTGGTTACACTGGGGTGGCTAATTGGAGGTTGCTAAGGGAGGGAATAGTTGAACTTAGGGATTTTGGTGTGCTATATTCGCTTCTGCCTTTGCATTACTGCAATACACTTGACTTCTAATGAAACTATGCCTTTCTCCACAAATGGGAGTCAGGGATTGTTTCTATTTAGAGGTTTAAGTGGTGGCAGGTCTGACAGAAAGTTTTCAGTATCGGTTAAGAATTATAATAAAACATGCAAAATGGCACATGCAATGCAACAGCTAGATGTACAGGAGGAAAGCAGAAGTTCAAAGATGTGTCCAAATTCTGTACTCAAAGTTACACTCATTGAAGAAGTCACCGTATGTTCCCCCTTTTTTTTTTGCTTCAGCTGAACAATTTTAGAATATTGGAAAAGAAAATGAAAACGGAGAGATCTGAGATTCTTGTGGCATTGATTCCACTTCTTTTAAGCCGATGATTCTCCTTGGGACCTCAATTATCTTTGCTGCCATCCTGGTTCCCAGGACTATCCAAGCCAGGGGTCCCCAACTCTGGGGCAGTGGCCTACTACTGGGCTGTGGCCTGTTTGGAACCAGGCCACGGAAGTGGCAGGCGAGCACATGCATGTGCACAGCTCTACTTGTGCAAGCAGCAGGTGAGAGGATGCACACGCGCTCAGCTCCATTTGCCCAAGTGGCAGGGGCGTATGCAAATGGAGTTGTGCATGCATGCTCACCCATGCCAAACAATCTCCTCTCCTCCCTGCACCGGTCTGCAAAGTCGGAAAGGTTGGGGACTGATGACCTAAGCCATAAAGCTTTAGTTCCACTATGCCAGGATTGTGTGATTTCAGAAGAGGAAGCGACGTTATGATTAGTAGGCAACAGTAGAGATACACTAGGCAACAAGAAGAAACTGAACCAGAAAGATAATTCAAGTGTTGCTCGGCCATTAAAAGTTCCTCCTTCCTCCTTGTGCTTTTAAGTTAAGAGTTGAAGGACTTCCGCATGTGACCGGAAGCAAAAGGAGCAAACGCAGCCCACGTTCATAGCATTTAGGTGTCCACTACAGGATCAGGGTTGCAACATCCCATTAGCCCTGTTCCAAGGTGCCTCTCCCTGCCTACCTGGTTCTCCGCCTCTGTGAAAGCAAGTTGCCCGGATCACCATTGATCAGATGTTGAGCAGCTGCGTGTGGGGGACAGAGACGCAAGTTCTTCAGCAACTCTTGCTCGTTGAGAAAAGGTTTGAGGCAGCCTCGCACTGGAGAATTCCCCACACTGCTTGAGCGGGTCAGTGCCCGAGACTGGTTGAAAGGCCAAGGTGGCTCAGTCTCTTCCTTCAAGACTACACGAAATAGGAAACAAACAAGAGGAGAAACACAATTCAGTTCTTAACCAGACTTAATACAACCTAGTAGACAGAAGAGCAGCAAACAGAAATTTACAGAAATAAGATTACTGTCTAAGTAGGCTTAGACTTAGCCGACTTAACATAACCCAGTAGACAGAAGATGAATCTGTCTGCTGATCTAAATCTTACTAATTAATTCGGGTAGAATATAGTTGTAAACTCACAAGAGGGAAGGGCTCCTTCCCAGAGGACAAAGAGACAGCGGAGTTTAGACTGTCTGGTAGGCAGGGAAAGGGTGAAGGCAGAGCCTCTCTAGCAGTTCACATAGTGTATCTAATCGTTAGGCAGACAGTTGATTTAGTCTGGCAAGATTCTGTCTATAGGTGAACAATAAGGAAATCTGTCTACCAATCTAACCTTACAAGTCTTATTGTTTAATTAATAGACAGGAATCATCCATAACATCACAATCCTTATTTTCCAGATATTTGCTTCCAGGCCCAGATCATCAGCAAAAGATGCCTAAAGAACCCAGCTTGCTTTTCTTCACTATTGGAAAACTGTCCTTCGTAAAAGGAACTCAGTTAAGAGTAAGTTGCAAAAATCCTTTTCCCTCTGCTTCACTTTTTCTCACCCTAACATAATGAGAATAACAGGAAGCTGGCACATTTTAAAGTTGATAACGAAGTCTATGCAGAATCTTACAATTTAGTTTTCATACAAGAATTCTTCCTAGAAAATGCCAATTCAGATCCCTCTGATTCCTGCAGAATCAAAGTTTAGGATTTAGACTCTTCCTGACTGGAAGAAGCGTTAGACTTTTCTCGGACACCAGATACTGTTCCCATCCCAATCTAGATCAGTTCATCTAACAGAAACAGAATGTGGACGTGCAAGCAATTTTGGGCACCCCAAGGATGGCACATACAACACTTTTGCTACATAAGCTGCACTGGGTGCTGGTTTACTTCCAGGTCCAATTCAAGGTGCTATTACCTTCAAAGCACTACAGGACACGGGCAGTGGTGGGATCCAAAAAAATATTACTACCGGTTCTGTGGGCATGGCTTGGTGGGCATGGCAGGGGAAGAATACTACAAAATCCCCATTCCCACTCCACTCCTGGGAGAAGGTTACTGCAAAATCCCATTCCCTCCCCACCCCACTAACCTGCTTTCCAGCTCCATTCTCCTGTGCAGAGCAACAAAAGAAGACCCAGCCAATCAGCTGGGACTCAGGAGGCAGGGAATAGATGGGGGCGGGGCCAGTCAGAGGTGGGATTTGCCGCTTCTCCGAACTGCTCAAAACTTCCGTTACAGGTTCTCCAAGAACTGGTCAGAATCTGTTGAGTACCACCTCTGGACACGGGGCCAGGCTACCTGAGGAACCATCTCATCCCCATTATGTCAGCCCATCCCACCTGGTCAGGCAGAGAGGGTATATTAAAGTTAACTGCCAGTTAAAGAATTTTCACTGTAGTAGTCCAGGAAGGAAGCTTTCTCTGCCATTGTTCTTGCTCTGTGGAACATTCTCTCTCCAGAGGTGAGGTGGGCCCCTTGCTCTCCTGGTCTTTCAAAGGAGTTTGAAAGCCTGGCTCTGCCAACTCACACAATGGCACACAATGAGCAGCGTGCAACCCCGGGGATGGTTGGCATCTTGATGCCCCTCTCCCTGCCTTTTAACTATTTTATCATTGTATTTTATCTGGCTCCTTACAAAAATCACGCATGTAGGCTTCTGTCTTATGAACTCAGTGGGCCCCACCTCCCAAAAGCAGACCAAGTAGGGTGCTAAAATGGGAGAAGACAACCAAACAGGAACCATTTCTACAGAGCTGGAATCTAGATACTGATATCAATTCGCCTCAGAATTGTCTCAGAAAGCTCAAGCTCATTTTTCTGTTAAGAATGAACAGTTGCTTACATTCTCGATCTGACAGCGAATACGGTTTTATGTCTCCCTCAGAGCGCTTTGGGGGCAGCTTTCTTGCTGGAGCTGCAACAGAGGGTAAATAAAACAAATGAGCATTTTGGTTGTGGTAGGAAAGCAATACCCAAAACACCTCCAGCAATATCAGTCTCCATTCTTATGAGACAATATGTTTCAACAATCACACTGTGAAGAATGGCCATTCAAAATTATGCGGAGGTGTGAGAAGACAAATCCCAATAAATTAGTCTAAAATTGCAGAGCACTGAAACGAACAGCTGGGTCAAGGAGAAGAAACAATGTCACAGTCATTGAAAGATTTCCACCACTCAAGCTAGGTAATTCATTTCTCAAACTGAAGGAACCATGTTGTCATTAAATCGAGGATCGGCCCTGACCAACTGCAGTGTATTTAATTTATCTACTGCAACATTGCTGGATACCTAAAATTTATTTCAGCACAGAAAGCCTACAGCTAATTGACAGAGAATTTCTGAGGATGAGGCAGAAAGAATATAAAAGACTTCTTATAGCTGCTTTTGCCGTGCACTATTTTTGATCATTTATCAAAAGGGTAAGACAAATTCTTAGCAGGGGTCCCCAACCCTCCAAGTCACAGACCGGTATTGGGCCAGAGTTCATTGGGAACTGGGCCACATAAGCGGTGAAGTTTCCTTTGCACAGACGAAGGATTAGATTGCATGTGCGAAACCATCCCTCCCCCCATCGTTGCTGGTCCCTGGAGCCCCAAAAGTAGGAACACCCCTGTTCTAGAGCAGGGGTCTCCAATCTTGGCATCTTTAAGCCTGGCGGACTTCAACCCCCAGAATTCACCAGCCAGAATTCCTGGCTGGGGAATTCTGGGAGTTGAAGTCCGCCAGGCTTAAAGTTACCAAGGTTGGAGACCCCTGCTCTAGAGGATACAACGATACTATGTGGTTCTATGTGGTTGTTCTGAGATGTTTTTGACTATGGCAATGTTATTCTTTCACAGCTTGTGTTGTAGTGGGTTGAGATGTGAGGCCCTTTTTGATAGCTGCATGGGCATGCATTTTGTTGGGAGATGTTGTGTAGATAGAGGTCTGATTCCTTTTCTTTTGTTCTGGGCTGCTGCAATGCATTTGTACTCATCTAAATAATGTTCTTATCCAGCTCTCTTGTGGGAAGCTGAGTTGTTCCTTTGATAATGGAGCACTTGGTTAGTGTAGACTGTTTTTCAACAGACACACGTTTCTAACTTGCCATTTTTTTTAATGCTGATGAGGATATCTAGAAAGGATAGTGTGTTCTTGTGGTCTACTTCTCTTGTGATTTTGATTCCTTTAAAGATGTTGTTTTATGTGGTCTTCTCTAGTTACACTTTTTATTTTTGACAAAGATGTTGTCTATGTACAGAACTGGATCCATACTTTGGGTTGTATGTGTGGGACTGTTATAGCGTCTAGATGCTGCATTAGTCTCTGCTAGGAGTAACCATTCCCATGGGTGTGCCTCCTCTGATCGTCTGATATGTTTGTCCATTTGTTTTCAGGTGTTAAATCCAAAATGATATTGTCATATAAGACTATGCTGAAAGAAGACTGGGAGAACATGATATGATGTTTTAAGAGACAATTGGTCCATTCTTACTAGTAACATGTATCATCGTATTATTAGGCAAATGACATTACTTATATAATTTGCACTGGGCACACAATTATATCTTTCGTGCGGTGACATCATGTGTATGACACTATAATGTCACCTACCAGATGCTTATTTAAATCACATTCTTATTTGTCTTTATTTCAGGCCAGGATAACACGTGTGGCTTCAAACAATGAGTACTATATGATTAAACAAAAGCTATGAAACGAATGCAGGATATTCCTAATCTACAGAAGAAATAATCTACTGTGCTATGTTTAATTTTGACTAGCTATTCATTATTGTTGTCAACTTGAATAATTCTTGTTTCTCCATTCTGAATCTTAACAAACTTCCATGATCAGTCACCTGCTCATACAAAAACATTAAAGATTATACTCTCATGAAAAACAGGAATATGGCAGATAAATTGGAATCTTCTGCTATGTTTAATTCTTCACAAGCAGCATATTTGCACCCTCACTATAGTAGAACAAACAGCTGCAAAATCAGAGTTCAAGAGAAAATCTTAATGCAGCAACAGAAATAAATGTACTATAGGTAGTCCCCAAAGTACAACCGTAATGGAGCCTGCCCTTTAGTAATGGTTGTAAAAGAATTTGATCATGTCACCGTGGGATGCAACAAACAGCCGTAAATATAGCTGTGTAACCGAGTGCCCAAAGTCTGGTCACATGACTGTGTGGTGGTGGGCCTGACCGAGGGAACTATATGGATCTGTATGGTAAGTACAGCAACAAAGATGATTAGGGGACTGGAGGCTAAAACATATAAAGAATGGTTGCTGGAATTGGGTATGTCTAGTTTGATGAAAAGAAAGACTAGGAATGACATGATAGCAATGCTCTAATATCTCAGGGGCTGCCACAAAGAAGAGGGAGTCAATCTATTCTCCAAAACACCTGAGGGCAGGACAAGAAGCCATGGGTGGAAAGTAATCAAGGAGAAACAACCTAGAACTGAGGAGAAATTTCTTGACAGAACAATTAATCAGTGGAACAGCTTGCCTCCAAAGTTGTGGGTGCTCCAACACTGGAAATTTTAAAGAAGAGATTGGATACCATTTGTCAGAAAAGGGTATAGGGTTTCCTGACTGAGCAGAGGGTTAGACTAGAAGACCTCCAAGGTCCCTTCTATCTCTGTTATTCTATTATATTCTAAGTCTCCTTTTTCAGATAGGTCGTAACTATGAATGCTTGTTAAGTAACCAGTCATAAATTGAGACCACATGTATCTTCTCAACTTTCTCAAGCGCTCCATATCTCAGAACTCCAAAAGATCTATTTATTTGCTATATAATATAAATTGTTTACAAGATAGTGATGTTTCACCGAATCCAGTACCCTGCAAATGTATTGGGTATCGGCTTTCAGCATTACTAGGCCACACAGCCAACAGCTGCTGCAGTATATCTTCATAACTCTGAAATCAGAAATCTCCCTGTTTAAAACACTTTGTACAGGATCAGACAACTTCAAATGGATATAGCTAGATATTTATATCACTGACTCACCATGCTGGTGGCTGAAAAAGCCCTGGAAAATTACAAAATTATTCACCTAAAACAGAAAAAAAAAGCATTAAATCAACCAATCTGATCCCACTATCCACTGCCAAATGTCCTTTGAAGCAGAAATTCCAACATTCTTTTTTTTCCTGCCATTAATTTGAAGATTTGCTTCTCCTCACTGGATACAAAAACATTTTTAAAGGGAAAAGGACAGAGTTCAGAGCTAGGCCATATGCTCTGCATACAGAAGATATTGGTTTAAATTTTCAGCATATGTATTGTAAAAGCTTTGCCAAGTCATAGTACAGCCTTATAATTTTTTCAAATGGTAATTAAAATACGAAATTCTTAAATCAAGAGTCAGCACTTCTTCAAACATTAGATTCAGGCCATTTCTACATAATGTGTTCTAGTAACCTGTATGGCAACCCTTTAAAATAGCTAACTGAAAAATCAGTAGCAATAGTATTTTCACTGCCCCTTATTAAGTTAATAATATTTATTAGCAAAGTCACTTTTTCCACAGCTCATGTCATGGTTTTTAAAATGTGGAAAATAAGCATTACAAAAATTGCACATATCCACTTAAGCATGGAGGGTTTGTATTTTTTGGTAAGCAAAATGTCCCAGCTCCATGTTTTTCTGGTTCTGGTTTAAAAGAGCGACAAAGTACACACACACAAATGACAAAACAATACTATTGGGTGAGAGCTGGCTTTGTTTTCAAGAAGACGGCTCACCTGGGGGATTACGTCACTGAGGCTATAGTGTTTACGAAGGAAGCACAGAAGTTTTTCTGATGGGCGGTCGATTGCCAACTGATAGGGCTCTACTCGCTCTCGCTGAGTGAATAAAAAGAGAAAGAATTTCTCTGCAATGTTACTTCTCAGGAAGAAAATAAGATTTAGAGACAGATATTATCTTTCACGATTGGATCAGTTTATATCTGACCTGAAAAGAGGGGTGGGGGAAGAATAGAA